AAATAAATAAATAAATAAAAAGGAGATGTGCTACTCAGATATCCCTTTAAAAAGGAACCTCCCTTGCTGAGCATGGTGACACACACCTAAAAGCCCAGCACTCAGGAGGCTGAGGAAGGAGGATTATCATGAGTTCTAGGCTGGCCTAGGCTACATAGTGAGTTCAGAGCCAGCCTGGCCTACTGAGACCCTGTCTCAAAAAAACCCTCAACCTTCCATTTAGTTCCAAGGAACATAGTTAATATCCTGTAATTGACTGTGTTGGGGATCCACCAGCACTTTTAAGCCAGAGCCACACTCTTTGACAGCGCCTTACCCGTGATAGAGTATGAGCTTGGTAGACACATGGAGCCCAGCTCTTTATGCCCAACGCAAAATTCTTTTCATGAGTAATCTTTGCTGTAGAACTCCCCATAGGGTTGCTCAAGAACTTGTCCAATCTGCATCATTTTCTAAGTTCTCCCCTTGCAATCCTGTCTTTTTGTCTTCCTCAGAAATTACCAGCTCACCTTGCCGGGTATGGTGGCATATACCTGTAATATCAGCACTCAGGCTTAGGCTGCAGGACCACTGGGAATTTCAGGCCAGCCTAGGCTACATAGTGAGTTCAAGACCAATCTGAACTACATAGTAAGACCCTGTGTCAAAAAAAAAAGAAAAAGAAAGAATTTTCATCCCTCTCTAAAACATTGTGCTCCTTACTCAGTCTTGAATTCTGCCTAGAGGATCTAATTGTCACAGATATATTCTACTTCCAAAGTTCATTATACATTCAGAATTCAGCTCCAAGGCCGACTCATAAAATATCTTCCCTAGATTATCTTTCCCAGATTAATATTCATGGTGCTGCCATGTGTTTTTTAACAGTGTCTATCCTAGTATGCTATAAGATTATAAGGAGTCTACTGCTGACCAAATGAATTTTTTTTTTAATATTTTATTCATTCATTCATTTTTTTGTGGCTGGCTCAGCTTACCCTGGGGGCAGGGCTGGCACAACATGAGGTGCTAGGGATTGAACTGCAGTCCCTGCACACTTGCCTAAGCAGGTGCTTTAGACCACTGAGCTATCTCGCTGGCCCTGACCAAAGGAATTGTAAAGGTTATAGGAATAAGACATGGCTGCAGGGAAAGCACAAAAGGATGAGTCAAGAGTTACTCTGAGGGGCCGGGGAGATGGCTCAGTGGAATAAGCGCTTCCCTGGCAAGCGCAAGGGCCTGAGTTCAATCCCCAGTTCCACAAAAAAAGAGAGAGAGAATAATAGAACAGAATACTGAGTTTGATCCTCAGTACCACGAGAGAGAGAGAGAGAGAGAGAGAGAGAGAGAGAGAGACCGACCGACCGACCGGGGAGATAGCTTGGTAGAATAAGTGCTTGCCTGGCAGGTGCAAGGGCCTGAGTTCAACCCCCGGTCCCGTCCTCCCCCCCGCCCCCAAAGAAAAAAGCACAAGAATTACTCTGAGGAGGGCTGCCGAGATAGCTCAGCAGACTAAAATGCCTGCTTAGGCAAGTGCAGGGATCGCGGTTCAATCCCCTGCATCACATACTGCACCAGAGTAGTGATGCACGCCTGTAATCCCAGTGCTGGGGAGGCTGAAAGCAGGAGGATCACTATGAGTCCAAGCTGCATAATGAGACCCTGCAACAAACAAATACATTAAAAAAAAAAAAAAAAAAAAAATTTACTCTGAGGGCCAGGGAGTTAGCTCAGCCTGCCTGACAAGCACAAGGTCCCAAGTTCAATCCCCAATACCAAAAGAAGAAGTAATCTGAACTTTCATGAGGGGAGCTAGAAAGTTTGTTCTCTTGATAGAGATAAGGAAGAAAATGACCCATTTGCTCTAGAAAATGGGTTTTGATGTGTAGAACTGTTAGGTAGTATTGTGTCTAGGTAGAATTGTAGGAAGGAACAATTGAAATGATGTGACTGGGGCTCATGCAAGGATGAAGACTTTGATACAGATTAGGAGAGCACATGGACTTGAATGTTGAAGCCATTCATCATAGAGTTCTGGAAGAAAAAGAATGTGAAAGAAGACTTGAGAGCTGCCCCATGTGCTTTGGGGAACACATTTAAGTTAATTAACAATAACAACAGAAAAGGGGCCTGGAAAAACTTCAAATCAGAAAGGGGGGAATGGTGTCAGTTGTTGCTAATTGGTAATTGGCTGCTGTTTCCTTGAAGTAGTGGGAATGAATTCGCCATGGGGGTAAAGGTGGGTGATGGGTGTGTAGGCGTGTGGAGTGTGGAAAGTGCATATGAAAGGCTGGCAGGAAGAAGAAGAGACCAGGAGAGCCACAAGGAAGGTGCAGGAGGAGCCGTATGTAGTTGAAGTAGCAGGTGGAGAAAGGAAGAAGTTAGAAAGGCGGGCCTGTTCACTGGAGTAATGTGGAAGTAGGTGGCTAAGGTACTCCCAAGTCCCGAGTCCACCAATAAGACAGTATGAGAGCCACTGCTAACTAAGAGCAAAAACATGAGCATTGTTCTGATGTGTTCAATCTAGCTAGTATTGAAAGTAATGAAGAATAAATAGTTAAGTAAAGGATTGGAAGGATACCCAAAACATACTAAGTGAAGGCAGCAAGTCAGCTTAGTGAAGAAACGAAATAACCATCAAGCATGAATATGTTTATACTTATAATACATATAGCAGTGGTTTCCAAGTTTTGTTGAATGTTTTAATCAGCTGGGAATTTTTTTTTAAATGCTGGTACCTGCATTTTTTTCTTCCCCCAGTGGTAGAGATTGAACTCAAGGAGTGTCCTACATACAACTGGTTTTAATTTAATTGGTGTCTCAAGTCACATCAGAATTTTCTAATGCTCCCCCAGATTATTCATATCTGCATTGAAGTTTGAGGATCACTGTGTAGAAAAGTGTTTGTCCAAGTGGTCACCTGCTGAATGTGGTGGC